TACTAGATTTAACGCATTTTAGTTAGGAGAGGGTGATTGATTACCTCTTCAAACCTGAAACTGGAGCATTCTGTATTGTTTCACAGCAAATATTTAAGCTTTGTGGATAGTTTGTTCAGTTTTGTATAGAATGGAGCAGATGAAATGTGCCTGTCTCTTCTAAAAGAGGGTGAGCGGTTTTCTTAACTGTGCCTCAAAAGCTTCTCCTTGACTCTGCATGCTCAGTTGCTTTCTTCTCTCCTTCTATCCATCCCTAGATAGATATTGCTCAGATTTTCATCATTTGGGTGTGTTCACACTGTTTAACATCTTGAGCTCGTTTCTTCTTCAGGGCTTTCAAGATATTTTCACCAGAGCTTTGCGTATCTAGTTTAGAAGAGGGAAGTTAAAATGTGGAAAAGGGGTAGGAAGTAGATGGAAATGGGCTGTCTGACAGCTTGAGTTGAGCTGGCTACTCTGGAAGCTTCTCTGGAAGAATGGGTACAGACACTTTAGTGCCGTCAACTACTGTACTGTTTTATATGCAGAAGTAGCACATGGACAGAGTCACCACCCTCTTTATGCACCCCATGCATGCTTCCTCTTTAAAATTCCATTTGGTATCGTTGTTTTACCTGTAGGCCAGTGCTCTCTACCAGATGTCAGCACCCCTTGTTAGTGGATGCTTTTCCCCACCGGAACAGCAGCATTGACTTGTTGGATGGGAAGCGCAAGTGAAGAACAAGCAAGGAAGTGCAGCTTCGTAACTTCATCTGTGAGCACCCTGCATCAGAGTGACATTTCCTGTGCTTTTTACTTGGCTGTGGTCAGCACCACCACAAAGCACATTCACAATATCAGCTGTGCTTTTCTGATTGCAAGGGAAACGCTGACATCCTGAGCTAAGAGATTTTTTTCTTTTCAGAAACAGCAGCATTAATAATCTATACCTTTTCTTAAACACATATGAGGAGTTCAATGATCTATGCAAAGGTTTTCACTTTGCCATGTTGTGCTTCAATTGAAGACTTATGTGCAAGTGTTGAATAAGCCTAAAAGGGCAAAAGCGTATGCCATTGGAATGATAAATTCCTGATTTGTGTTTACTCAGGCAGTAGATTCTTGTGACATGCATATGATGTTTTTCCCAGTAACCCATGCAGAATGCAGCTTTTCCCAAGGTACCGTCTTCAGTATGTTGCAAAACAATCTGCTTCAGGCTGCATCTACTGCACTCTCCAAGAGATATCCTACAAAGATTCTCCTTATGTTTGTCACTGGGGAAGGTCAGAGCGCCTTAGCAAACTAGGTCTGGTTGGAGAGCTGCAAAATGTCTATTTCTGGAGAGAGGTCTTTCCAAATCTGTGTGCTCAGTGGTTGAGATCGGTTCTTTGGTATTATTGGATAGTGCACAGAAGGTTTCAGCTAACAGACCTTTTCCCATTGCATAACTGGCAAACTGCTAATTCTTGGTACAGTTTTCAGGAGGGGGAGCCATAGAATTCAACAGCCAGGGCACTGCCAATCTGAACATCAGACTGATTCACCACTGGATATGTGCAGCACTCCTTTTAAGTTTTGCTTTCCATGTTACACATGGACTCCTGTGCATGCTCACTATGCACATATGTACATTTCTCTTTGCTAAACTGTACTCATCAACATTTTTAATAATATGCATGGCAAGCCTTCCTGACAAATGTGATAGACTGTAAAGAATCTGGCAGAAATCAATAAACATCAAGCAACAAAGAATTTAAATAGTAAATGATGACAGCTTCTGCAGGTTAAAAATCAATAGTACAATATTGAATATGTTCTTGGATGCCACAGTCAGGTCATGCTAGGCAGGTGTCCTCCCTTTGCTGAGACCTCTGAGGCACCTCTAGTGCAGCCAGGGGAAGGGAGATGCCAGCATGCATATGAAGAAGCCTGAGTGCTGTGTTTCTAGTTTGGGTGAGCCGTGCAGTTCTGATAAATTTCACTGAGATAAATGCTTTTTTAAAGTTCACTTATTTTGATTGCTGTAGGAATATATCTGTATGTGTTATCCTTTGTTGTCAGTATTGTAGCTATCAACCATCAGTGGGAAGCCATTCTGCTTTCTCCCACCCTCTTCTTTCAGTTTTTGAACTTGACTCTGTCAAACTGAAGAGTCCCAGCATTTTGCTGTCCCTTTTGCCTGGGGCGTTTAGTAATCAGAATTCTTAAAGCTCCCCCTGTTTAGGATCTCCTTCAGCCACGCCCTATTCCCGCATACTTTCTCCAGTGTAGTGTAAACTAACCAGTGTGTGGAATAGTAACGCGTCTGGAATTCACTGTTTTTGTGGGCAGATTAAACCTGCTGAAAGATGGACAGCGTGAGTGAATAATGTCAAATTTTTCCAAGTCTCTGATATTTGACGTTCCTAAACGAAACAATGAAAATAGCTCTAAAAATTATGTGTCCTCAAAGATCTATTAAAGCTATTATGTAGGACAGTTTTCTCTCAGATGTAAGAATCACTTTTGTCATGAGAAGTCATTCTGACTCATAGATTTTTCTTAAATTAAAATATAATTCTAAAGTACCTTCTATATATGTATACAGAATGTGCTCTTATTCTGGGTATGTAGTGCTTTCTTGCATCCGTGACTTTCAGGTTGTGCCACAGTGTTTTTAAAACTAATACGCAATGTGCATGTGGGCTGCTTGTTTTCACAAAGAAACTTATTTTTCTTAGTGTGGAGATTTCATGTTAGATTTAAAACTAAACTTACATGTTGTCTTTGGCTTTGAGCCTTCTTACAGCTGCAAGTGCATTGATTTAATATGACAGCTAACCTGTCTGTCATGATAGCCCTCAGAAAAAATCCCTGCTCTGTTTTACAGTTATTTGGGAAGACAACTTCCCTGGAGTACTTAAGTGACATGGGGTTATGTGGGGACAACAGTAACTTACTTAGATTTTTCCTGTTCAGATGAAAGCCCATTCACTACTTCTGATTATTTTCTGAATCTGTAGGATTTGACTACTTTGCTCATATGTTTTAGTTCTGTAGAACTTCAAAAGGCAATAAAAGTAGGTTTTTAACATTTTTTTTTTTGTCTTTTAAGAGAATTGGAGGAAGTAGAAGATGGAATTGAAGGAAGATTTGATTTCCTATGCATGCATTTTTGAGCTTTTGGTAACAGCCCTCATTAGCTTTTCTGGCCAGTTTCACTAGAAAACAAAGGTCTCCAAAAAAAAGCCTTACAGGAAGATTTTGTCAGGATTTCCCTGTTTGATTTATGAAGAGGGAGAAATACAGGAGACAACAGGATCAGCAAATAGAAATGCCTGTTGATTGTGTCTATTATAAATATAACAACATGAAAATCTGTTACATTGGGATCAGTGGTAGCTGCTTCTTGTTCAGGGTCTGTCCATTTCAATTTTATGGAAAATCAAGTCCGTAAAATGCGGTCACATTCCAGTGTTGGACTTCCGGAAATAATAATGAACAAAAGCAAACAAAAATACCCTCCCCAAAACTCCCAAAAAAGAACCCACACACCTCCCCAAGCTCCAAAACTTTATCATATAAAAAATCATATAAATGTATTTTATAGGCTTATTCCATATTAAGCTGACTAAGCTAAGAATTATTGTATCTTAGGGCAAGTTGCTTCTGATTAATCATTATGAAGCTGGATAAAGGTTCATTACAAAAAATCAAAAAAAAATTCTTGCATTACGAGGAAGCAGTGCCAGAATTTGTCTAAGATCAGTTGCAGTAATTGTCCTGATTTTTGCATCATATCCAACAATCACAAGCCCATGGGTCAGTGAGACCAGTCAGCTGATCCCAGAGGAAGTTGTACTAGGAAAAAATATCATATGGGGGGAGGGTGGGGTGATACAGAAGAGTCAGCTTGGTCATCTTATCTTGCAAATGTGGGCTTTCTAGATCTGTTGCATGGTTTTTGGAGAAAGGTCAGAAGTCTTGTTCTCAACAGCAGCCTGCACTTACACCAGTTAGGCTAAGTCTTTAACTCATGGCAGTCCATTAAGTGGCCATTTCATTCAGTTTTATGTGTTCTGTAAAGGCTATAGGACTGGTGTGCAAGCACAGAGCTTCTTACAGCTTGAGGCTGTTAGGGTGTTTTAATGGCAATGCAAAACTGCAGTAGTTTTCCACTGGTCACTAATACTGAGTGTTGATGGTGTTCAGTACAATTTGAAGGGAGGGATGTTAAATAGGTTGTAGACAAGTATAGAAAGAAGGAACGTGTTCTGCTTGAATACGGACCTTACACCCATTTCTCTCCTTTTTTTTATGTTTTAGCCAATTCCAGTACCTTCCTTTTCAAATTATAATCACCCAGAATAGAGTTAAGGTCACTGGAAGGCTGGCAGTGTAAAATACTGAATAGGAAATGAAACGGCACATAGCCATGAAACAGCAAAAATCTGACAGACAATGTAGAAGTTTCTGAGAATGGTGTTTGAGGAAGGAAGCTTCCTGATAAAATGAGCTGAGTTGCACTTTAGATTTTAGTTTGTTTTGCTCTTTGTTAGTGAGGCTCTGCAACTGATAGCAGAAATCAAGATATTTAAATATGATTTGACTAATTTACTTACTGGCTTGATGTCCTTAATGTGTGATCTTTGTGTTTATAATGTATCCCTATGGGGAAACCGTCTGAAGCAGCTCATGTGGAGCTTAAATTAAGAACATGTAGAAGAATCCTTTCTTTTTACTGATGAAGTCTCTCCTGACTTAAAAGCTTATTCTTTAATATACTGGTTAATTTACTTAAGGGTTGACTTAGGAAAATGTCTAATACTTGGTGTCTTTCAAAGTACACAAATACTAATCTAAAAAATTAAAGAATTTGATAGCCATTTTACCTTTCATTGTATGTTTACATATTTGTGAGCTTGGAGTTGAGTATTTTTTCTGCCCTTTTCACTATCTAAATAATCAGAAGTTTATTTTTAACATAGAGAATTCTGTAAAGAAGCATATTAGATATGTTTCCCTGTGCTCTTTTTTAGTGAACTGACAAAAACAGTGGAGATTTCTGGGGACAGTGGACCCTTAGGAATACATGTAGTACCCTTTTTTTCATCATTGAGTGGAAGGTAAGGATTTTCTGCATTGCTTAGAAGTATATTAAAGAAAGGATTTCAGCTGTAGTTCTCTTAAAATACCTATGATTTAACCGTAAGGAAAATAAATGATCAAATGAAAGCTCATCTATGACACACCAAAATATATTCTAGTCTAAGTTACATATAAGACAATACCTGCCCGTATGTTCCTGTATGTCGTTTTAATTGCCTCTGGTTTTATTCTCTGAATGGTAAACTAGAGTCTCTGTAGAGCAATGTAATACTAAAGATGGAGGCCTAGAGGGTTAGTTGTTTTTTCCGGTGTCAGGTTGGTTTTGTGGGTGTGGGGTTTGAGTTTAGTTGGGGGGGGGGTGTTTCAGGGTGGAGGGAGGGGTTAGTTTCCTTTTTATTGTTTTGTTCCCATCCCCAGTTGAATTTCTCTGCATAGGCCCTTCCTTAGTGACATATCAAACAAGAAAAATAAAAAAACCCTTTTCTTGTCTGGTCGTGCCTTATATTTTTCAAGCCACCCTTCAGATCTGGTTGTATAGCATTTATAAAATGTGCACTATACCATGAACTTTTCTTTGTCACAATACAATTACTTTAATTATAAATGATTTAACATAGTCTGTTGAGATCACAAAAGCCTATTATAGCAGCATGCTCTTATTGATGCACTGTAGTTAAGACAGTGTCAGCATTTTCATTCTGTTTTTCAAGCTAGGTAACTCAGATGTTAAAATATAAAAAAATTCTAGGCTGAAATTTGACATGCAGAGCCTTAACCAGAGAGTTAATTTGACACTGGCAGCCCTGAATAAGAGATGGGAAATTGCCAGAGTAATAAATGACACTACCTGATAGCAAAATGGCTGCCTGTAACACAAAGACAATTATTGCAAAAGTAAAAATTGTCTAATTCTTAAGTGTTTTCTTTACTTGTCAACTTTCATGTAGAACAGAGAATGTGAAAGACTAAATTGTCTTGGAAAAGTCTGCTTGTGTAAATGTTTTCTTGGAAAGACCTGAGTTTGTAAGTAGACCCAAATTCATTCAAAACGTTTTCATTACCAAAAGGGAAAATGGACATCCACCTGCTGCCTGTAAAAGTGTCGTCACTGTCTGAAGAAGAAAGTTGGTCTTCAGTGGGAACTATAGGAAGTCTGAGTTGTGTCCTTGGCTGTACAGTCCACTTCTTTGTCTTGAAAGCCACTTGTGTCTGTTACCCCTTCATGAAATGCAGACAATAATAGATCTTTGTTATAGGTATGCCATAAAGGTTGTAGGACTTACGCTGTTACTTCATGATCATTAGGTAAAAATGTGGTGAAATTGCAAGCTATTACAATCAGTAATTATTGTGACTGCAATACAGTTCTGTACTGAAGTATCAGCATGTTAGGTGCAGCTTTTAAAGACCTCCATGAAGAAAAAATGGAGTTCCTTGGTCTACATTGCATGTGTGATAATATGTCCTTATTTGCAAGTGCTTTTGGGGATCCCCTGGAGCAAAGGGGTTTTTGACAGGTGGACTACTGGTTTAGACAGCTGTCTTGAAATTTTAATGGCCCTTGGCAGTAGCATACCAATATCTTTGTAAAAGCACTAGAGTGACTTAAATCACTTGTCCCTCTTATTTAATCAAGCCTGAGACTAGTGTATAAATTTTAACTCATCATAACAGGAGAAAGTACAGAAGAGCATCTTTTATTTCTGTTAATCACAAGATACAGTTTATGGGGGCACGCTGGCCATGACTAACTTGGTCTGGTATTTCAGTTGCAGCATTATCTTCTAACAAGGTAATGATGGCATTAGCCCAGTGCTGCTGCAGAGCAAGCTTTTTCTAGAGGTCATTAAATCATTGTATTTATTGAGAAAATCTTAGTTTCTGCAGGAACTACAAAACTAATGGAAATAATTTCTCCCCTTTCTTTTGCACTTAGATATCATTAAAAAGAGAAATTAAAATTTAATGGTGTATTAAAATAATGCTAAAATTGAGTCTGTGGGAAAAAGTAAGGGAGTAATGAATTTAAGCTGCCACAGCACATGTAACTCAAGCCACTTGCACACTCGAGTTTCAGATAAGTGGGCAATCCTATTGCAGTATATGGATGCAGTATCTAAGTACCCCAGGATTAGTGAGCATCTGACTTAATTTGTAGTTTCTTTTATTTCTCTACTTTTATTGGTTTGCATCTTAACATGATTATTTTTTATTAGTTCTATAGTAAATATATAGTATTTATAGTATTAGTATAGTATTAGTATAGAATTTACAGTATATAGTATATATAGTATTAGTTCTATAGGTAATAGTTTTATTATATATTTTATTAGGGTTTCGGTGGCTGATTGCCCCTAGTTGAATGTTTGTCGTCAATAGAGCTGTGTCCCCTTACCACCACTTCCCCTTTGAATCCTTGAGTGAAGGGTAACACTGATTGCACGAGAATCTTTGTGTGATAGATTAAATCTTTTTATTGTGTTAGATGTTTTGGAGAAGTAATAGTCAATAGGAACAAAGTTTTTATTTAAAGTACATTGATATGATATAAATTTTTAAATCTCCATGCAGTAAATCTAAAATCAGGTTCACAGTGAACGTAATAGCATTGTTTGAAATAGTTAATGGCGTGCTGTGAATCTGTTGAATAGACTTAAATATGAGGGGTAGTCATGAATCTGAGAAAAAAAAAATACAAGACTTCCATTTTGTGGTTGGAATGCTGGCATGTTGGAAATTGCACATTAATATTTTATGGAGTACAACCAGTAGAAAATGGTCTCTAAAGGTCATCTGCCTTCAATGCTGATGTGGTATGGAAATTTAGTGGGTAAAACTTGATTATAAAAGGTCTCCACAAACATGTAGTTGTCAGGTATTTTGGACATTATGCTGGTATCTTTGGGTAAATCTATGTTGAGTTGTAGTCTGCAGTCCAGCGATGCTCCAGGTAGGACAGAACTAGACTAGTGTTCCCAGCAGTTAGCCATGCTGGAATTTTGCACCACCCATACGTGTTTTCTTACCACATTATCAGTAGTTTCTGTGCTGCACCTCAGCTTTTAAATTGCAAGTAACTTGGTAACAAACAGCATAGATTTTGATGTTTTGCTGCTCTCCTGCTCCATGAATAAATAGTATTGTTGTCATGTATCAAAACAAGGGACTTTGGCAACTAGAAAGTTTCATTTGTAGAAATAGCGTTTGGCTTGTTTTTTTGGGTTTGTTTTTTTTTTTTTTTCCTAATGCCTGTTCAGTTTACTGTAGTTGAGTTAGAAAATTACTTTTTATCTGTTTGTGCTTTTCTTTGGAGCATTTTAATTTTTCTTAGTCGCAGAAAAATATTGTTTAAACTACATTCAAATTTTTAACTGGATAGGGAGATCTAGGTGTTTTCTTCTGTTTATCCAAGTATGACTTAGGGGATTGTGGTTCCGCAAGTTCTAGCAAGCAGCATAGCATTAGTGTCCAGCAATTTTTCTTGGTGTTTCTTGAAATCCCCTGCCTTTTAGATAAAGAGCAAGCTGGAAATCATTTCTCTAGGCTAAACCCTTCATAGTGGTCTACTCTGTCTCATCTGATACATGGTAGAGATTAAGATCTATTTTTAGTTGCTATAGATTCATATCATCAGAATAAGGATAGGTTTCACTTTTTTTTTGGTGTCTTTTAGGATGCTGGGACTCTTCATCCGCGGTATTGAAGAAAACAGCAGATCCAGGCGTGATGGTCTATTCCATGAAAATGAATGCATTGTGAAGATTAACCATGTGGACCTTACAGATAAAACCTTTGCACAGTAAGTGCTAGTTTGCGGATACTTTTAACTAGCCAGGATTTTATACAGTGCTGTGTTTATTAAGTGATTCATGCAAAGGGATTAGTATTTATTTCAGATAAAATGCCTGTAAAATTGATACCTGGCAGAGACTTTGTAATTTTCTTTCTGAAACCTTCAAATAATGTGAAATCTGAGGAGAAGAATCTGCTTGGAGTCTTAGTGAACTTATTGTGCTTACTTAATTTAAATAGCTTTAAATTCTTAATAGTTATCTTCACTTTCTGATTCTTCTGTTATCTCTTTCCATTATTTTTTTTTGTAATTTTTTCCTCATAAGACTTTCAGAATGAGTCAACATTGCAGTGTGGTTTTTATGAGCTTTTGCAAATGAAATAAGATCTATTTTGGGTTTATTTTTTTGGTGCTGCAGCTTACTGAGCATTTAATTTTTTAAAAATTCTACTACTGTCAAACTGTGCTTAGTTGAGCTAAATGGGAAGTCTCGCCTCTTATGACTTTTATTACAAATCTGTTGACATTTATTCTCTATCTCAAATGAAGTAACAGGTTGTTTTGATAGGCTGTGAATTAATGTGACATTGTCGCACAAAAGAATAGCCTCTCAAATTTCACAGATATTTGCTGTAGTAATTAAACAGTAATTTGTTTTTACTTTTAATCCATATGTTTAGACAGCTGAGTGATTGTTTATAATATAACAAAAATCTATTGAGATGTCAAGGGAGTTGAAGCTTAACTTTCTAAACAGTTCAAGGTTTCCAGACTAAAATCCAATAAGTAATTTCACTGTTAGGGATAAATATTTGCAAAACAGGTTTTCATAAATCCAGCATAGTTCCGTAGTGTGGGTATTTACCTTGTTTTTGAGGCTGTGCTTTTTGCTGCTTAACAGCTTTTTAAGTTACTGCTTTCTGCATATTTGGTGGTAAACATATCCTGCTGCCATACAGTACATGCCATTCTCTTCCACCCATGAAAGTTCCTACATGAGATACCAACTTTATCAGAACATAAATGTTAGTATATGAAAATGTTTGTTGCCTCACCTGTGCCGTTTTGTAATGAAGTTGTATCCTTCTCAAGTGAGATTTTGCCTGAATCAAAGCCTCTCTTTTCAAAATTGTATGTAATCTTTCTTTTACAAATTTGTGGTCTCCTTTGTGTTCTCTTCAGGATGTATCCAGCTCTCCAGAGACTTTATGCCCATGGAAATATATATCTGGAGTGAAGGATTCCACATATTTTTCTATAAGGTTACTAGATTTTGGGACAGTTAAAAATACTGCACTGAACTTTCCAGTTCTCCATCACGTATTTCCTTCAAAATGAGAAATGCAGTTTTCTCCAAGTTGCAAAGTTTCGGGAGTTGGAAAAGATATTTACAAAGACGGTTGCTAGTTTAGAGAGGCTGGTCTTGTTAGACAATCTCTCTCTGTGATGGGGAGCGTGAGAGAAGTAACTAAAATGTGATTCAGATCAGAATGTAATCTAATTGGTCTAAATCACCTTACGTTACAGTTACAAGGAGCGGTTGCAGTGGTGTTGGATCTGAGGAGAAAAACTGTGGGCAGTGAGGACTCCACATCGTTTAGGGGCTGGGAGGAGTATTTTGGACAAGCTTTAGCCTGGTTCCATGTGCTGTAACATTGTTCTGCTGAATTTGCCAGAACAGCCTTCTGGCATCATCCGTCTTCCTTGGCTGTTGAGAATGGCTAAGAATGCAGCTTTCCAGGTTGAAACTCTCAGCGGATATGTCTTTTAGTTTTCATCTGGCATGACATACCTGTACTAACCTGACAGAAGTCCAAGTCACAGAAATGCAGTAATTGTAATGGATGTGATGAGTATTGTCCCAGTGATTGTTGACCCAGAAGCATCATCAGATTCTCCTCTGAGAGGAAAATCTGTTTGCTAGCTTCAAATTGACATTTCACCGTAACCCTTGTAAAAGCTGTTTTAACACTTAGCAGAGACTGTTACATCCTGTCTCTTTCCATTTTCAGCAGAGACTTTCTAGTATTGCTCCTGATGATTGCTGCTTCTGCAACTGTAATAGCAGCCTACTTTCTGTATTCCCATGTTTATAATAGTTTTATTTATTGGGACTCTTGGTCTGCTTTTTCATTTGCTGTTAATCCATTCAATTACATTCTGTTGTGTTGCAGAGTTTCTAGCACTTCTTTTAATTGACTCCCTTACTTCTTTTAAAGTATGCATTTGGGGTCTCAAGAAATGTAAATTCCTCCATACATTATTTTTTCTCTTTGAAGTGCAGCCAGTTATTTTGCCCCTCAAGGGCTTTCCCACAGGATGTCTGGCGTTATTTACACTATTTTTTGTTTGAAGATCGTCTTATATTTTCTCTTTCATATATTTAAAATATTCATCTCTTGAAACTGAGTTATTAAATTACCTTGCAACATATGACCAAGTGGCTACTTGCAAGGATGAAGATGGGGTGTGAAAGAAACCCAATTATGACTTTACATCCTTATGCTGGGAGCATGCCATGGTTTCTACTATCAGAGTAAGGTCTGTCCTTGGAAACACTCGTAGGCCACAGATGAGAGTGTCACCTATAACCTCTGAGGGACAGTGGTGTTTACAGATCTGAAACATAATCCTTGAGGGTGATGCTGAAAGAATACCTTCCTTACAGCACTCTCCGTGCTATCTTTCTTTTCCAAGTTTGAGGTTTTTCTTCTGGAAGCTTCCTGTCAATTAATTATTCTGACTCTTGGTGCCCATACACTCAGTGTAGACAAGATGGTACTTTCCCACAGCAGTATCCATTGGGACTGCCCCCTGACTTCAGTATCTTCATGCTGCAAAAAACCCTCTTGAAACAAACCCTTCCTTCCACTGTGTATAGCTGCAAGGTGGAAGTACCATGTGGCTTCATTCACATGGGAAAGCAATAGGTGTGTATTCAAGATGTTAACATTTCCAGTGGCTTCCTTTCTGTATCAGTGTAAAAAACTATTTTGGAAGTACATTCAAGTTTAACTCCTGTTGCATAACTGAGTGTAAATCTATAGCAAAGAGTTCAGTAAAATATTGACTTTGACTGACAGACATGCTGCAGAAAGGTGGGAGAAATGTAAATTGTTTTCAAAAGGACACCATGATTTATTTAAAAATTAATGTGGCCACTACTTCCCCTCTTGACCTAGTTCTGCTAAGCAGAAGTTCTTGATTTTTCATTCTCGAAATGTGCTTCAGCTACTACTTCTGTTTGTACTTCAGTTGTCTTATGCAATATGGAAGAAAATCAGTGCACTTCATCAAAGGTGGAAGAGGAGAGCATAGAGAGAGAGAAGCCTCCTTTATTCCTTTAGAATCCAGGGTTTGTAAAATGTCTTGATTGTCCAGACCTATTGGTTACTCAAAATCCAGGGAAAGCTTTATGAACAGTTGCTTTGGTCAACTTGTCTTGATGCCTTGAAATGCATGGGAACCTGAAGTCTGTATTGTTACTACGTTGACAGTTCAAGGGAAGTAGTTTCATTAAATGCTCTGAGACGGTTTCTGATGTTGCAATTGAGCACGCCTATAAAGGCGTTTATTAAGTCTATATACCCACCTTAGGAAGAGGTTACTGCTTGGAAGATGTGAGTAATAAATATTTATTTATTTATTTATCTGTTTATGTGGAACCACGCAAATAGTTGCACCTTTTTGGGCACCAGGTTTTTTAATGATATTTATATATCCCATACCATCATCCTTTTGTATTGCAACATTTGCAGTCACAATATTTCTTCTGAAATATATCCCATATATCCCATACCCTCATCCTTTTTTACTGCTGTAGAATCAGCCGGTAGTTGCATTAGGTGAAAATGAAAAGATTAAGAGATCTAAGGGTCAGTGAGGTTGTAGTTGGAATAAGTGGAGTCTTGAGCTTGCTTAGAGTAGTTGTATCCACCAGAGCAATTGGTCATAAGTGCTCAGTGTGCTTTTATGCCAACAAGAAAATATGTAACAGACAAACACTTGAAAAAAGTAGCAACCTATGACTTCAGGAGTCTTTTGGTGAGCTTTTGCCATCAGAACTTCCATTCCTCATGTTCCGCATGAAGAATTGTGTTCATTAGTTTATTCTGGCTGATGTCAGGAATTCTGACAGATGTTCTTTTCCTACTTGAAAAGTAAAGGAGTTTAGAAATAACTTCAAACTCTGCCCAGATTTTCCAGTTTGTGATGTGAATTTTCATACCTTTCATTTAAAGGGCTCAGGACATCTTCCGTCAGGCAATGAAGTTTCCAAGTGTCATCTTGGAAATCCTTCCTTCGTATAATCGAGAACAATATGAGAAGTGTGCTATTGCTCCTCTTTGTTTTCTGGATAATGAAGAAGGAGTTGCAAAAACAAAGATTCCACCTCCTGTTCATCCTAAACCTGCTCTAAAAACAGTTAATCTTTCTGGAACAAGCAGCTTTGAGGCAGGTGTACAGGCAACACTACAACAAGCTAAGAGCCCCAACCTCCCACGTCTGGGTAGAAAGTCATCTTCTCCCTCCCTGTCTCCACTTATGGGCTTTGGCAATAAAAAAAATGCAAAGAAAATAAAGATTGACCTGAAAAAAGGTAAGACTTTGGAGATGATATGCTTGATTCTGTATCATGTTTTCTATAGTGAGATTATATATATATATATATGATTTAACTAAATATATATGATTTAACTATTATATACATGATTTAACTAAATTAGTGACATTAGAAGTATAAGCAAGTTATTTGCAGTTGAAAAGTTCCAAAACATCCAAAAGATAGAGGTCTGTTAACAGTGAAGTTCTCACCAGTCAGCTTTCTGATAAATTTTGGGTGCATGTTCACAAGAACTATTGATTTTAGAACATCTGATACGGGTGATGTGGAAGGTCTTTCATTAGCAACATGCAGTATTAAGAGATCCTTAGACTTTTCATAAGTACAGAATGAAAATGTGAACTGGCTGCTGCTGATGTGTTATTTTTCTTCATATCTGCTGATTGACCACGGCACTGTTACAACGTGCTTTTAAAGATCTGTTTAAAAATACATTCTGCTCTGTTTCATGTTACCCAAGGAGCTGACTACAGATTTACCTGTCCTTCCCTTTTTTCTGCACTTTCTTCCCATCTGTATTTATCAGCTGTCAGCAGGCTGAATTGTACGTTTATGTCTTTAATTGCTGCTCAGTGCAGATGTCTTCTTTTGCGCGGAGTACCAAGTTTATGCACATGTAGTAAAATGTGCTCAAGCAGATCCCAATTAGCATTTATATTTTCTGTTTAATTTTTGTCTCTGATTTGGCTGAGACTTAAATTTGATGCCAGAAGTGGCCCTTTTAAAAACTGTCTGTAACTTTATGCTTTTAACATGTAATGAATGTAATCAAGCTGTCATTTCTTAATTTTTTGTTATTTTTTAACTTAAATCACTCATTTTTACTTCTGAACTCTTCAGCTTTGTGTTAACAAAACCTGCTTCAGTATTCTCTGTATTTTAGATGCAATGCTTTTGATTTTGTAACAGTAATTTATATTTTTAGAAATAATAGGAATGAGATACTGAGATGATATCTCTGAAGGCTATTACAATGGGTAGCAATCCTGCTCAATATAAAAAAGATTTTTATGTACCCTGCTGTTCCTGGGTGATTTTTGTGGCAGTACCTGCTAATATTGATTTTTACTCCGTAATTATTTGTTAACACGTTTATCTATGAATGCTTGAGGTTGTTTATTTCCAAGCAGCAAACGACTCCACTTAATGAAAGCTTTGAAACACTACTTCCTCCTTTCTTAACAGCATGTTTTCAGCAGTTTTCGCATTCGAATCATGTGACGTTTTCCACTTCTCTCCAAGTTTTAGTAAAACCTGATAAATTATATGTATGCTCATAAATAAACAATTCTGATTGCTCCGATTTATTTCAAAGACTTGACATCAATGTGAAGGCTGATACTAAAACCACCTAGAGAAAATGTAAACACTTTAAAATGAAAGTTCTCGCTTGTTTTGTATTATTGTGGGGTATCCAAAAGTATCTGCGTTTGTAGCTGTTGCAGGAGGATTTGGGCGTGTGTTCTGACATCGATAGAATTGTGAAGGTGTGCAGAAAATACTTGTGTTTACAGCTTTTTGTTTGCTTTCTTTTTTAAGAGCTAACCTGAATGAGTGCCCGTAATATGCTCTGACATTGTTGACTTACTTTTAATAATCATCATTTTCTTGTTGAATTTTATATTGGGAGTTTTTTATCTGACTTTCTAGGTCCAGAAGGACTTGGTTTCACTGTGGTTACCAGAGACTCTTCAGTGCATGGTCCTGGTCCGATTTTTGTGAAGAATATTTTGCCGAAAGGTGCAGCAGTAAAAGATAGTCGTTTGCAGTCAGGAGACAGAATCCTAGAGGTTAGGATAAACATCCCTTGTATTTGCATTGCTGAGTATTGATTGCTGGTTTGGGCATAAATGTTTTATTTCCTTATACATGCTACTGATGATGGAATTACAGTTCTTGACCTTGCCTTAAGAAAAAAGTCTCATGTCTTTTGTATTGTTTGTCAACAAGTATTTGACACTATGATTGGAAAAAGGTGCTTTTCACAAGGACCTGTGCCTGTTTGAATAGGGGGAAATTAATAAAATCATGGTTCTTAAAGCAGATAAATGTATCAGTTTAGAAACAAAACATGGTCTTCAGTCATGTCCAAAAGTCTCAGATTAATATCAAGGCAGTTAAGCGTTCATCTGAAGGCAATTTTGCTCAAATCTGTCTGTTTAAAATTTTAGATACTTTGTGACTTACAGCCTCATCTAATGGGTTGTTTAACTTACTAACCTCAAAAAGCTGTCGAAGTAAACAGTTTTAATACTTAGGTCTTGTTTCTATACTTTTCATCTTCAAAGCACTTTACAAACTAATTAAGCCTCACAACCCCCCTGCAAGGTGGGTAAGTACTACAGAGCTGCTCTAACAGATGGTGAAAATGAGGGGAAAAGGTTATTTGTGCAGGGCCAGAGGGAGAGACAGCGTGGGAGCTGTTGCTAATTCTTCTTTGCTCTCAGTCACTGAATGACACCTGTGTTAGGTGAGGGGTACATGATGAAAGACAGTCATACAGATATGACATCGTCTGTTCTTTTGTGTCTGGTAGGTGAATGGACAGGACATCACTGGCAGAACCCAAGAAGAGCTTGTGGCTATGCTGAGGAGCACAAAGCAAGGGGAAACTGTCTACCTATTGGTGGCTCGTCAGGAGGAAGCCTTTCTACCTCGTGAGCTGGTAAATTTGTCAATTTTTTCTTGAAGAGTGATACTGAAACAATGACATGTTTTAAAATTAGATCAAGAAATAGAAATTAACTGTTGTTGGCTAAGCAAAGGGTAGCTGGTTATCCAGCTAGTAACCCAGCAAAGAATAATTCTGTAAGGCTTGCATTTGAGAAGTACTTATACTTACCTTTTATTTCGATAGATATTTCATTTTGTCTACTTTAGATACATTTCCATGCAATCTGATTTTTCATCCCAAAAATGACATCATAAGTATAACTCACATGTGAACATTGTAAACTAATTTTGTAACTGTGAGGTCAAGCATGGCTGAAAATGGATAATTCTCTTTCAAAAGACTTTAAACCCAAAGTCAAACAAACTTTAAACCAGAAGTTTAAAGTGCATGTAATAAGTTCCTGCAGCTTATCAGTAACAAACTATTGAGGGTGGCTGCCCCCAGGAGATGTACCTTCTAAGCCAGTTGCCAAGCTGCAGGAGCATAAGGAATAGAATTCCATTGCATTCCTCACAAATTTTGGAAGCAAGCTTTTACTTGGCTGCTAGTCTTAGGCTCTTGCATGTCCGATTTTGTTCTATGTCAAGTGTTTCATTTTTGCTTCTTTTTTTAACACTGTCATGAAACTGTTCTCTCACATATGCAGAGGGAGGACTACATCAGTGTAAGAGTGCTATGTGATACATACGTGTTTCCTCTCAAAGAAGGTCATCTCTTTGGTTGTCTCTTCCTTATCTTGATTGATGGCTATACTTGACCTTTCATTAAGTAGTTCTCAGGATAAGGGAAGGACAGCATTTCCTGCTTTTGTCTCACTTTATCTCCTTTAAAGGACACAAACCGCCTTTATCCTTCTCTTAAGATGCAGTCTTCTTGCCTTTCCTTTTGCTTTAGACTGTTAGCAGGATCTTCTACAGAAATCCTCTATTATATTTCCTCACAAAACATTGCTGACAGTTTTCCTCTTTTTCCTTGTTACCAGTTGGAACTTGTTGAGGTAAGGGTGTCTGTTGCCTATGGTAGGATAAGAAGCTGAAAGGGAGTTCAGATTCTCTCATGTGAGCCTTTCCTCTTGTGCCACTGGTGCCCACTTTTTCCTGTAGTACAGCAATTCTGAAGTGTCTTAATAAAACTGGTTTTGTTTTCATTTTCCTTTTTTATAATGGCAGAATATGTTCTGCCCTCTAATTGTGGGCATTCATTGTCAGATTCCCAAAGCACCAAAGTTGGTCATCATAATACTTCGTTTAGTAAGCCCCAAGCTGGAAGGTCAGTTTCTATGTGGAGGAAAATTTCTGAGTCTGAAAGTACTAAATTATCTATTATATTTGGGTTTTCTTTTCTTCCACCAGCTCTTCTAAATAAGAGATTAGTTTCTTAAAATGCTACCCATCAACAGGGTTTTTTTGCAGGTTTAACTTATAAAACACATCACTTGGAAAACATACTTTTAAAGAAAAGTATGTATTATTCTTCTCTCTCTCCTATCCCCCAACATTATACCTTATTCTTTATTGTCATAGTACAAATTCTCTTTGAAATTACTGTACCAGTGTGTGGGCATAAAAGACTGGAAGAATCTGAAAGTTATTTATAATTTTTACCTGCCACAATTGCATGCTATTAAATTCTAGCCCCTACAGTAAGGATCAACTACCTTTCAAGAGGTGACTTACTTATGACTGGAATGATTGAAATACAGAAAGTAGCCACATTTATCCTGCTGGCTTGACCTTCGCTTAGATTGCTTTCTCTGCAAAAGAATGATGCATAAGTGATGGCCTTCACTGTAAGGGAGATGATATGTGAATTCTAATACTGTTCTGTGTTCCTTGTTATCCCAATCAAGAACAGTAAGTATAGTACAAATGTGAGTTACAAATTCACTGGGTAATTTTATGGAACCAGCCCTTCAAAATTAAAAAGCCTTTCAGCAACATCTGTTTGGTAGCTCACAGCAAAAGTGTGGATTACCATGCCCTTAAGCTACCAGATGTTGATAATAATACAATGCTTGTTAGAATTCATGAGATGTTTGAGAATAGTCTCGACAAAGATTAAAAAAAAAGAAACTAAAATTACCTTAGCTTTTTTGTTTGTGTTTAGCTTTAGCCATGATACTCATTGGACTAATTGGACTAATGACTCCTCTGCTACCTCGAAAGTTACAGTGCTGTTTTGGTCAAAGAGGAGAAAAAAGCCAGCACTTTAAATGTTTGGTTTTGGGAGGAAAGGCAGTGGATAATCCAATATTTTTCAAGGACAGCTGTAACTGAATGCTCTGGCTGTGTAACATGCATGCAGAGTTTACCTAAACACTTGGGGGTTTTGTTAATGCCTGGCAATAATAAAGTAATTGCTTTATATCAGACTTGTTCTTAATTTGAGCAGTTCTCCAGGGTCTGTAACCTGAGAAGCTGTTTTCTTTAGATTCGCTGTTACCTGTTACAAGAAAAAGTAGAAGGACTGCCTAGTAAATGTGCTCACTCCCCACAGCTTCCTAGGGCAAGGTTGCCTCTGGAAGTTGGACCCACTAGCGACCATGCACAAAACCACTTATGAACATGTTGCTCCACAAGAACCAGGTTCCTAGGTTGATTTCTGGAGAGAATTTGATAGTTGCATGGGTACAAAGCAAGTAATATAAAGAAATACCAGTGGTGGCATTTGGTTGCCTTGGTCTCTAATAATACAGTTTGACTTTTCCTTGTAACAAAGCTGTGGTTTGGAGAAAGCTTGGTCTCACGGATATTTTCTCTTCAGCAAGCTAGATGGGAGCTGAGTTTGGAGGTTTTGTTACTGTGATCTATCCTGATGAATTGCTAGCAAGTAGGAAAATATATTCGGAATAGCAAACATTTACCAGGGCAGCCAAGAGAGATGTATGTGGGTGAGGATGAATCAGTGGTGCAAACAGGCATCATTAAATTGTCGGCAATTGGGCCTTCAGTTACACCAGCCTATGCAACATCTGAGAGTTGTACAGTCGTATTGCTTGCACGTAATGAGGGGATAAAATAGAAAACCAAATCTTTGTAGTGTTGTTACTGGTTTAAAAAAAGGGGGATCTAATGAGGTTTGGGGTTTTTTGGTTGTTTTGGGGGTTTTTCTGTGTAATTGAAGCAGACCAGTGAAGTAGAATTTGGACCAACCACAGGTTGTTGTCCTTATTATCCAGTTAGCCAAATGTTCCCAGTAATTCATGCCAGCTGTTGACAGTGTAGCAGCTGAGTAAGGAGCTGATTCCAAAACTCAGGGGAAGATCTTGATTCACTTAATTACCGCACTCTACAGAGTGGCCGGTGATTAGTGTATTCTTTAAGGTGCATTTGGGCTTTAAACCATGTAACACTGATTGTTTTCGAAAGGATGGTGAATATTACAGAGGGAAACTGGCTTAACTGGGCAGATTTGGATTTTCCAGCTCTCATCAAAGTAAACGGAATACACATAAAACTGTGGCTATCATTCTGTTGTGTTTTGAAAATACAATCTTTTGATCATGTGTATTTGTTGCATCATGTATTTTCTTCAAGGAAAATGTGTGATCTGAAGCTGCCATTTTTTAAAAAACAATGATGTAAAGATCACTTCCCCCCCTTGTCTGTCCTTATCCCTGTGTTGGTAAAACAGGCAAAGCTACTTGAATGAGAACAGCTCTGGTGTAACCCATTCCACACCATGACCCTATGCAATTCTTTATTGTCATTTTTCAGGAGCCTTCAGGATAGAGGATATGATGCACATAAGCAGAGGAATGTGCCTGTTCTGCGGTTGCCAGAAATTGTGTAGCACTGAAAATGTTTTAGTACGTTTAAGTTAGAGCACCTATATAGTACGGGCTTTGCATATTTTTCTTTTTTAAGATAGCTTTGAAAGTCTCAAATGTGATCAGTATTTCTATGGTTTATGACATATTCGCTGATCCCTGAAGAATGGAGGAAAAGGAGAAAAACAGCATTTTTACAACAAAAACTAATGGAACAACAGCAGTGTATATAATGTAGTAATTGATCTTTACCTCCGAGTCTTCTTTTTACTTTATAGTACACATGTACAGGTTAAAAGGAAGCAGGAGGACTGGCAAGTTCAATTAAGCACTTTTTCTGCTTTACCATGTGATTAACTTTTATGTTTCAGTCTTCCCCTAGTTAAATTTGTTTGCTTGAAGTGTTGTCCTTTTTGGTTTTAATATTCAAAGCTTGATTCCTATGGCTTCCTTTTAATTGTTTCTTGTCTTTTTATGTGCAGAAAATGACAGGTGGAATTTCAACCTAGACTTAACCATTTTTGCACCTGTTCTGGTAGATTAAACCCCTGATTCTAACTCAATTAAGCAGAAATGGTCAAATAATTTCAGTCAGAAGGTGATTCCAGCAAGTACTAATTCTCTGTTGTGTTACTGCTGTTCAAATGCAGGAGAACCTGATGGGGGAGAGGGGGTAGGAAAATATACATAGTGGTTTTTAATAACATATACAAGATTAAGTTCGTGAATTGTTCTGCATTAATGAAGGATACTGTGTACACGCATGACATGTTTTCTCTTGAATAATTTTATAAACTGTGTAGGCTTTAAGAAGTCTTGGGTTTTTGGTTTGTTGGGGTGATTTTTTCAAGAACTTTCGAAGGAGAGTGTTTAATTTGGGGTAGTTTTTCTTTATCTGGAATAGCTGAGAAATTAGTGTAGGTTGTATCTACGCAAATGTATCTTTGTAGAGTGAAAACATTGAGTAGTACTGCTCCTTCAAAGGTTTTCAGCTTTCATTATCTTATTTCAGAAGATGGTTACTAGTTCATTATAGCTTAGAGTACTGGAAACTGTGCACTGAGGTTTGTTGATTAGTTACTGTGCTTGTTATGAAAGTCAGTGGAAGATCACTATCTGGAAGGAATGTGACAGTCCTTCCTGTCACAGCGAACAGAAAATGTGGCAGAAAGTATCCCATTATCCCAGATTTTAGTGGGACTCCCTAACTTACCGAAGGGGG